TACTACTACTACTACTACTACTGCTACTACTGCTACTACTGTCACTACTACTACTACTACTACTACTACTACTACTACTACTACTACTACTACTACTACTACTACTACTACTACTACGACTCATACTACGAAGGGCCCGAACGACTCGCACGCGGACGAGGTGCCCAAACGCCTCACACCACGAGAAGCCCGACCGACTCACACCAGGACGAGAGGCCCGAACGACTCACACCACGAAGAGCCCGAACGACTCACACCAGGACGAGGGGCCCGAACGACTCACACCAGGACGACGCGCCCGAACGACTCACACCACGAGGAGCCCGAACGACTCACAACACGAGGAGCCCGAACGACTCACACCAGGAGGAGGGGCCCGAACGACTCACACGACGAGGATACCGAACGACTCACACCAGGAATAGGGTCCCGAAAGACTCACACAAGGACGACGGGGCCGAAGGACTCACACAACGAGGGCCCGCACCGCCGCCTTCGTCGTCGTCGTCGTCGACGTCGTCGTCGTCGTCGTCGTCGTCGCGGTTGTGGTCGTCGTCGTTGCGGTCGACATCGTCGTCGTCGTCGTCGGGTGCGTCGTCGTTGTTCAGATCATCGCTGAGATCGTCCTCTCCGCTGAGTCCCTCTTGCCTCCCACCGCTTTCTCTCCCTCCTCTTCCGCGTCGTCCTTCTCCCGCTGCCCCCACAAGGAGGATGTACAAGGAGGCGGGAAGAAGGAGGAACAGGGGAGATATACGGGGCCAAGCGGACACACGCCTGAAAAACACAACTGTCGGCACGCTTCGCAAGAGTTGCTGTTGTGAGATGGGCTGGTGGGGATACGCGAAGCGTAAAGAATTACCCCAGTGCGACCCTACCAAGAAGTTGGAGCCCCTAGGAAAGCAGCATTAGTTGCTATGCTATGATATGCTATGCTATGCCATGCTAAGCTGCGCTATGCTATGTTATGCTATGCTATGCTATGCGGCGCTATGCTATGCTATGCTGCGCAATGCTATGCTATGCTATGATATGCTATGCTGTGCTATGCTAAGCTATGCTATGTTATGCTGCGCTGTGCTATGCTGCGCGATGCTATGCTATGCTATGCTATGCTACGCTATGCTAAGCTGCGCTATGATATGCTATGCTATGCTGCGCTATGCTATGCTATGCTAGGCTATGCTATGATATGATGTGCTGCGGTATGCTATGCTACGCTATGCTATGCTATGCTATGATCTGCTCTGCTATGCTAAAGCTCAGCGAAACTAAGATGAATATAAGCCAAGCTAAGATAAACCGGAGCTAAGATGAAGCTAAGCTAAGCTAAAATGAAATAAGCTAAGCTAAGATGAGATAAGCAACGCTAAGCTAAAGGGACGTAACTGGGGGAACCGCGGGTCGGATCCTGGGGGAACCGCCCGGGGCGGGGAACACTGCCCGGCCCCTTTAAGCAATAAAGTAAGAACCCTTCTAGGCAGAGCCTAGGTAGGGAACTGCTAGCGAAATATCCTCACACCCCTCGCTTGAAACTGCCAGCGACATATCCTTCCCCCTGGCCTAAAAGTGCCAGCGAAATATCCTCACACCCCTGGCTTAAACTTGCAAGCGAAATATCCCCCCCTGGCCTAAAACTGGCAGCGAGATATTCTCACACCCCTCGCTAAAAAGTGCCAGCCACATATCCTCACCCCTGACTTAAAACTGCCAGCGACATCTCCTCACACCCCTCGCTTAAAACTGCCAGCGAAATATTATCACACCCCTTGCTGAAAATTGCCAGCGAGATATCCTCACACCCCTCCCCTAAACCTGCCAGCGAAATATCCTCACACCCATAGCAAAACTGCCAGCGAAATATCCTCACCCCCTGGCCTAAAACTGCCAGCGAGATATCCTCACCCCCCCGGCCTGAAACTGCCTGCGAAATATCCTCACACCCCTCGCTTAAAACTGCCAGCGAAGTATCCTCACACCCCTTGCTTACAACTGGCAGCGAGATATTCTCACCCCTGACTTAAACTGCCAGCGAAATATCCTCACACCCCTCGCTTAAAACTGCCAGCGAAATATCCCCCCCCCCCTGGCTTAAACTGCCAGCTAAATATCCTCACACACCTCGCTGAAAACTGCCAGCGGAAGATCTTCACACCCCTCGCTCGAAACTGCCAGCGAGATATCCTCACACCCCTTGCTTAAAACTGCCAGCGAAATATCCTCAACCCCCTGACTTAAAACTGCTAGCGAAATATCCTCACACCCCTCTCGCTTAAAAATGCCAGCGAAATGTCCTCACCCCCGGAAATCCGCCGGCCCCCTTGTGGGGCCACCAGGCTGTAGGACGAAGGTTCGCAGTTTCCTGTACCAGTCGCAGCTTCCAGTTTCCACTGTTACAGTTCTGCTTCTTGCTGCTTACTGTTCCTTGTTGACTTCTTGCTGCTTACTGTTCCTTGTTGATGGACAGCGCGAGGGAGGGAGGCCCCAAACGGGCATTTTTACTACGCCCTGAGCGTGTGCTCTGAATTGCTGGGGTAGGTAGAAATTGACACCCCTCACGCAGATCGGCGGGGTCAGGGTCCAAAAACACCAGAGATTTGCCACATGTTTGAACTCCGGCGGCACCCTCACGCAGATCGGCGAGGTCAGGGTCCAACAATACATGGGATTTGCCACATTTCTAAACTTCGGAGGCACCTCTCACGCAGATCGGCGGGGTCAGGGTCCAAACGCACAACGGATTCGCCACATTTCTGACATTCGGTGGCACCACCCCTCAAGCAGATCGGCAGGGTCAGGGTGCAAAAACACTGAGGATTTGCCACATTTCTGAAACTCGCTGGCACCCCTCACGCAAATCGGCGGGGTCAGGGTCCAAAAACACAAAGGATTTGCAACATGTCTGAAATTCGGTGACACCCCTCACGCAGATCGGCAGGGTCAGGGTCCAAAAACACACGGGATTTGCCACATGTTTCAAATTCGGTGACACCCCTCACGCAGATCGGCAGGGTCAGGGTCCAAAATCATATGGGATTTGCTACATTTCTGAAATTCGGCGGCACTCCTCACGCAGATCCGTAGGGTCAGGGTCCAAAAACACAAAGGATTTGCCGAATTTCTGAAATTCGGTGGCACCCGTGACGCAGATCCGTAGGGTCAGGGTCGAAAAACAAACAGGTACCGACACTGCTTCACTGCGGCGCCCAGACCTCATGATTTAGCTTTTGCATCTCCCATTATCCGAGACAGGGGGCCGGCGGCATGGGGTGAAGCCCTTACGGAGAAAATTGCCATCTGACGGCCTTTGTGATTCAGTTCAGTTCTGTCAGTCTACTTCCCGAAAATCAAATTACAAACTGCGCCCGTAAAACATAAACTTTTGGAGCTCCGCGCGGATTTATTGGATGGGTGCTGGGCCCCCCCTGGCGGCGCCTCCGGCGCCGCCCCTGTCGCGCTCCGCGCGCCAACGAGGCAGAGGGGTAACGGTAGGTGGGGACCAGCTCAGCGGGGGAAACATCGAGACGGAATCGGCGATGCATCGCCGATAGATCGGCGGTAGGCCCCCGATAGCAGATCCGCACGTTCCTGGGCGGGGTGGGCTATCAGGCCCCCATCGGCGATGAATGGGCGATCGGGGGTCGATGCCTCTCCCCCTGAGCCTATCCCCCCTCATGATGCCTCTGAGGGGCGGGGAATGGAGACCGTGGTCGCTCTCCGCAGGAGTGCGCCGGTCCGAGCTGTCAGGGGTGTAGCCTCCGTCCAGCTCAGGCGGTGAGCACCTTCCGTCTCGCTCCCTCTTGGAGCAGCGCTTCGCGCCTCTCGGCACACAGGGATCGGAACGGGCCTGGGAGGACGTAACAGGGGAGCGTGCCGCCCCTCGCGCCAAGGAGGCGGGGAACGGAGACCCTGGGTGCTCTCCGCAGGAGCGCGCCGGCGCGAGCTTTCAGGGGCAGCCTCCGCCCAGCTTCGTGGCGCGCCTGCCCCCGAGGAGCCATCCAGCCCTCACGCAATCGAGGCAGGGAGTGCAGTCGGCTACACGCAAGGGTAACCTGCGGCTTAGGGGTGCGCGGCGGGGGGGGGTAAACCCAGGTGTGCACGCCGCTGTTATCGCATCGCGTTCAGCAATCGGGGGACCCTTGTGGGTCAGCACCAGAGGTCACTCTGGCAAAGGGTCACGCTTTGGGTAGGAGATCGACTACAGAATTGATTGACCCCAGAATTGCATGTTCGCCGACTCTACAAACCATGAAGAAAATGCTTCGTACATCTACGAAGCATTCCATTGTTTCTTGGTAGATTCGACGGAAAACCATCCTGGGGTACATCAATTCTGTAGTCGTTCCCCTACAGGAGCTCTTACGTGTAGTCGATGGAGACCCTGGGCGCTCTCCGCTGGAGTGCCCTGGTCCGAGCTGTCAGGAGCGTCGTTGAACCGATGCGCGTGCCTCAGCGCGCAGGGATCGGAACGGGCCTGGGAGGATGTAACAGGACGGCCAGGAAGAGGATTGACTTCCAGATCTGTCGACACCCGCGACAACCACTGGCACGTGGCGACAAGTCCTCGTCCAGAGTACTTTGCCCCCTGTGTGTCTTGAAATCGCGACTGACCACCCTGCTTGACGCGCATCGCGAGACGTCAGGATGCACTGTCGCTTGTTTGGCGGAGTCAGGTTCCACGGCTTCTCGAACGGATTGTGCTAGCGCACAAATGGCGCGGCTTTAGGTTGACTTGAGTCAGGCTGCAGGCTGCAGCTCTGGTCCACACGAGATGACACATGAAAAAGACAAAAGGCAGCTCCGAGGTGGCAAAAGGCGCAATGGTCGGTGCGGAAATTGCGGGGAGGAGGGGGCATGGAGGTACCCCTGTTTTGGAAGGGTCGGCCCAACGCGCGCAAACTGCAGAAGGATCGGCATGTTTTTGACTTTTTCGCCGAAGCCTCAGGGGGTGGGGATGAACCCATATGACTTGCGCAGGTGCTTAGGTGGAGCAAGCTCGAGACCTACATCTGTGGTCGGGAATTCTTGCTTAGCGTGCTGCCGCGGCGGCACTGGCGACACGCTATGCCCTGCAAGCGGACAGCGTGTCGCTCCGCTCCGCGGGGCGGGAGACTCGAAGCAGCTCGGGACGTTGGAACCTGGGGACCGGGAAGCGGACGTGTCGCGCCGAAGCGTGGTGGGTCAGAAACGGCGGAGCAACACGCTGTCGAGAAGTTCCCGAACGCGCACGAGAAAAAAACGCATGCGCCCGCGCAGGCGGGCACTTGCCATCGCAAGTGCGCACCCGCGCAGGCGGGCGCCCGCGGGAGCGAACACCTTCGCAGTGATCCAGGTAGTCCGTACCAGCAGCTGAGATTATGTTGCACCAGCCGTACTCGAGGACCACGTCCCCAAATTAATTTCGAACGCCAAGGAAAGCTGCTGGCGAAACTCTAGCGAAGTGTCGAATGAGTATCGCCTCCCAGGGCCCAATATGTGAAGACTTTCCCAGGGGTGTCGCCCTTCAGGGCCCTCCAATTTCGGTACTTTCCTGGTGGTCGAAATTATTTCTGGTGATCAAGGCCGAAGTAGGTTGGAACATCATAAAGCTGAGAGAACAGTCTTGCCTGAGCAGCAGTGGTGGAAAAACGGCCGGGCCTTGCCTGGAATCTTGGGTGCGGCACACAGAGGCATGCGCGGAGCAGACAACGGGCAGAGGCAGGGCAGGTGGGCAGGCGACGGGGGGGCAGACACAGAGGAGCAACAATCGGCCAGGTGACGGGGCGACAGACACAGAGGAACAATCAACGGCATCCGCATAAAATTTCGGAGCTCCGCGCGGATCTCTTGCATCGGCGCTGGACCCCCTCCCAGGCGCGCGGAGCGCGCCAGGGTCGGCGCTGGAGGCGCCGCCAGGCGGGCCCAGGCGCTATGCGCGTCAGGGAGGGGGGTCTGGCGCCGACGGAATGGGTGTGCGCGGAGCTCCGACAGCTGAGGTTTGTGCAGCTTGTTGTCCCTCGAGGGGAGGACGAGAACGGCGCCCCTGCACCGCACAGTCAACCCGTCCAATAAGGATGCGCGGTACGGATACCAAAATATCTCGGAAAGCCACGTCGACACTTTGCGAGCTGGGCGCGGCCAGCGAAAGCCGGCAAGGATGAGCCGAAGGGGAAGGATGCACGGGTAATCTTGGAAAGCTGCTTAGCGTTATTATGCGGGTTGACTATACCACGTGCGGCATCCCTTCAGGCCCCGCTCCAACGAGGGACGGTGCACAGCTGTTCGGCTCTGAGTGGCCGAAAGACAACCAGACTAACCACCGTACCGCTCCTGGGTCGAGGATCGACGACGCCTCGGGAGCCTAGCTGCCCCGATACGCAACTCGCAACCCGCAGCGTGTTGACACAAAGCTCAAGAGCACTGAAAACGCAGGTCTGGCGCGATACTCTCGCCAGAACGTGAGCCAACGCGTGCCGAGCCAACACGCAACGCGTTAGCACGGACGCTTTGAACACAGTACGTGTTGCGTTTCAAAACGGGCGTACCAGGGCAGCTGAGCGTCGGGAGGCGTCAGCGCGGCACGTTGCATACAAGTCGTCCGCGTATGGGGAGGGCCGTAGCTCACTCGGTGCCGTCAGCGACGGTGCCGGTAACAACCATGCGGGATACTCTGAGCCTGGCCTCCGCTGCCAGGTCGGCGTCCAAGTGGATCCCCTTGAGGGCGGGCCGGCCAGCTTTCTCCACCTCTGTAGAGGCTTCCTAAATGGAATTCGTATAGGTGGGGTCGGAGGATCGCGCCGTATCGCCAATGCATCGGCGACGTCGGCGATGCATCGGCGCCGTCGGCGTGGAGAAAATCGGGCTCTATCGATTTGAATCACCGATGCAACGGCGATGCAGCGCGATCCTCCGACCCCATCTACTCGGACCCCATCTGGGAGGCCCAGAACTGAAGACTCGGGCTCGGGGGACTCGGGGGACTCGGGTTGACAAGACGGCGCCGCCAGGAAAATGACGAGACACATCCTGAAGTTTGACGCGAGCTCCCGCGGCAAACATCCCATGAGAGCTGGAATAGCAACGGGGCTGGGGCGGTGACCGGGGCCTGAGCGGGGTCCAGGGCCTGGGAAGGGCGGAGGCAGGTGCACGGAGAAGGAACCGCTCGCGATTTGTTCGCGGCTTTCCTCGTCTGGCGCGCGAAATTCAGAGCGACGCTGGTTCCTCTGGAGACTCGCGCTCGGAAATTCAAGACGGGCCCGTCCAAAAGCGTCGGCGAATTCGAGCTCTGGCGAACTCGGCCCTCACGCCTCTCCTATCTCGGCATCCACGCGTGAGCCCTGCACATGCGGAGCAGATTTATGAGAAACCAGCTGGTAAGGCAAAGCCAGGACGAGGATAACATCGGGTGAAGATACATAGATAGGGATCTGGCGGCTCTGGAGGATGTATCGGGCGCCGCGGCCTTCTCAGAGCGGTCTGGAACGCTCTGAGAGCGTTCTGGAAGGCTATGGAACGGATTTATCCTTGTCCTAGCCCCGTCCGAGCTGGGGATTAGACTTTGAAGGATGGCTGCAGCCATCACGAACCATCGGCCGTTTCCGAAACGTCAGATCGTTTAACATCGACCGATTCTGGGTCGCCGCCGGCGTTCAGCATTGAACACTGGCGGCGGGGTCGTCGCCGGTTGTCACGACATGAACCTACCGTATCCCTATTCGAGCCATCGCGGTCTGGATTCCAGGCTGTGATCTCGCGAATTCGCGGCCGCACGGATACGTTTCGCGCGGGGCATCCGCGAAAAAACGCGCCATATCCGCCGCGGACATGCGTATGCTTTTCGACCATGAAGCCAAGTGGGCCCCCAGCAGGTGTCTCCGATACCCCAGCGTTGATTAGGCCCGTAGGGGTAGGGTTCGCTAGTGGTCGCAGAACCTCGGCGGCCCTCTGCCTACGGTCATCCTTCCAGGTCTCCTCGATCGCGCCCAGCTCGGCGATCTTCTCGTTCACGGCCTCCTTTTGCAGCAGGGTGACGTAGGTGTGGAGCACCAGGCACCCCAGCATGGCAATCCCAGAGATGGCCAGGCCCACCAGGCCGATCGGCTTGATGATGCCATCATCGCCACCCCAAAGGACGAGCGTGTCGATGTCGTCGGTGACCGCGAAGCTTCCAAAACACACACTTGCTCTCCAGAAGAAGAGGTAGCAGACACACAATATCATGAACAGGCCCGTGGTGGAGATGCACTTCACGTAGCGAGGCAGGCTGCTCCAGGTGGCAACGCAGACCCCGGCGATTTCCTGGCTGCGGAAGTCCAGCCAATCGAGATCGACGTTCTTCGCGAGGGGCCTCGTGACCTGGAGGACGTGAAAACGGCATAACCACAAGCTTCTGGAGCTCCACGCGAATGTTTTGGAGCGGCGCTGGAGGCCCCTCCCTGGTGCGCGGAGCGCGCCCAGGGCGGCGCAGGAGGCGCCGCCAGGGGGTCCAGCGCCGATCCAAGAAAACCGCGCGGAGCTCCAAAAGTTTATGTTCATGCTGTTTTTCTCCCTCGACGACCTCCCAGTCCTCATCGTCCAGCTTCTCCTGGATCTTCCACGCGGCCATCAACCACATGCCCAGCCCCATAAGCGCCGTGGACGAGACCATGAGGCTCGCGGCGCGGTTCCAGAACTCGCTCTCCCCGGACCGGAGGTAGAACGCCCCGCTCAGCGTGCAGGGCGTGATGAAGACGATGAAGGTGGTGGAACAAAATACGGCACGAACAGAAACTTTCGGAGGTCTGCGCGGATTTCTCGGATCGGCGCTGGACTCCCGTCCCTGGTGCGCGGAGGCGCCGCTAGGGGGGGCCAACTCCGATCCAAGAAATCCGCGCAGTTGTCCGAACATTTATGCTTATGCTATTTTTTCTTCTTCGAGATGGGCAAGGTCCCCAGCTCCATCTTGCAGAGGTTGAGCTTCAAGATCCCGGCCAGCACTGAGGTGGGCCAGTCGGGCCCTCCGCATAGGATGGCCATCTTGCCGACCGTCCAGGTCCCAGGGTCCCGGAGCACGAGCTCTATGGCGCGGATTAAGGGCTTGTTGACTCCACACTGGCTTCTCACCCAGAGACTCTTGCCCAAGAGCTCACCGATAAACTTCTGCTGCATGGCGCACGCGCAGAGCTTGAGCAGAAAGCCCACGCTGGTGGCGAAAGCACATGCGGGCGCGTAGTCGAAGTCAGCCTGGCCGACGAGCAGCACGCCAGAGAATATGTAGACAGGCAGGCCGGGCACTGGTGGCAGAAGGAAACACACAATTCCTGACAGCAGCGTCATCACCGTAAGAATAGTGTAGTCCAGCCCAGACAGCATGGAGTTCAGCCACGCCAAGAAAATGTTGAGTACGCGCGGGGTCAGCACGTACCCAACGAACAAAAAAGAAATGATGTACATCCTTATGACGATGGAGATCCAATCCCACTGCTCCATTGCCGCCAAACCCTGCACGACCCTCTGCGTAAAACGGGAATCGTTAGGATCGTCCACAACCGCAACCACCACTGGCTTCGCGGCGTCCTCCACCGTAGAATTGCGCGTCAAGTCCTCGATCAAGGTCTTCTGAGGTCTGTTCGTGGCACGCTCGAGGTCAGCCACCAAAGACTTCCCGTCGGTTGGGAACCTATCATACAGTTTGCGGTATCTCCTGCGCTGCGTCAATGTCAAAACCGATGCAGGCGTTCTTTCATCGTCATGTTTCTATTGCTCGGCAAACCAACTCGGGAAACAACAACAAGGGCAACCAAAACCAAACAAGAACAGCAACACAAAACGGAATCGGGCCGACAACGGCGCGAGCGATGATCCCAACACGGACAAGGACAACGGACCCCCAAACGGGGAAACAACACCGTCGATCTTGAAAACGGTAACCCCCCCCGGGTGTTTGTAACAGAATCCAAGGTTGGCGTCCAAAAGATAGCGTGCAAAGTCGACCTCCGTAAAGCACGCTATCCCTGTGAGGCGATCCCCCACGCGAGGGCCTTTTCTGCGCGCGCTATCCCCCTGCGAAGGTCTCGTCGGTGCACGCTGTCCCCCTACGAAGGGCTTCCTCGGTGCGCGCTGTCCCAAAGCTGGGGGACAGCGCGCAAGCGGGCCAGCGGCGCCACATCGCACGCTATCCCTACAACGCCAACCGCTAGCTCCTGCAGCACTGGTTCGCCCAGGACAGCAGCAGCACGAACGGCACCATGCACGCGGTGCAGCACACGAGGGCCGCGCGTGCCCAGTTGTTGCACGCCACGGTCCTGGCCATGCGGAACAGGGGCAGCTCCTGCAGGGGCCCCCCCAGAACTGGGCCCGAGCAGATGAGCGACGGACAGGAACGGGTCTTACGCGAGGAGAGGGGATGGGGGAGGGAGGAGGAAAACGCTGGATGGGGGCAATTGGCGCCTTAAGGTGTTGAAGTCTGAGTTGTGGAGATACGTTGGTTTCCCTCCCTACGGCCGTTTTCGTTGGTCGAGGGGCCGTAGGGAGAGCCTCATTGACAATGGCGCCGAAAAATACCAATATCAAGAATGGGAGCGGGACCCCCGGCAACCCCTAATTATGATGGCATCTGCCGAAGGGGTGGGGCCTATGATGGTCCCCACCGACGTGGCTGAGGCCTATGATGGTCCTCGCCAATGAATAAAGGAAAGAGAGTCGGCCAGTCGCCCGGGTGGGGCGTAGCGACGATGCCGTCCGCGATGCGCCCTGGTCCTGAGGCGGGAATTCCTGAAGGGGGGGGGTGAAACACAAAAACGGCATACACAATTTCGACACCGACACTGAGTAGGCCCTGCGCACTCGGTATCCCACCGAGGGGATAACGACTGCGCGCGCAAGGCTGAGGTACCGGTTTGTTGCGCCTCCCGCCCAGGGGACAGCTGCGCCCCGCCGAGAGCAAACCCAAAGAGGGGCAGGCTATCGTACACACTATGCTGTGCCTCACGCACCACACAGCACGGCACGGGTGGAAGCCAGCAAGTTCTGGCAGGGCACTGCCAGAACGAGCTGCGCACGCGTCGAAAAATCAAGAAGGGTGGGATGGAGGGAGGGAAGAGGAAGGGAGAAGGAGGGAGGGCGGGAAGAGTAGGAGGAGGGGATGGCAGCGTTCGGTTCAAGACTCCGATGCCTACAACACGAGCCCGAGTAGGAGGATAAAGAGGAGGAGGAGGAGGAGGGGAAGGAGGAGCTCCCCCCCGAGACACAGCGACCTTACGCCGTTGCTGACGCGGGCCGCCAGCGTGGCACACAGCGCGGAGAAGAGGGCGCTTACGCGAGGCCTTACGCGGGAAGACTACGAGCGAACGTCCGCGCAATCGACCCCGTTTTCTTCCGTCGCCCAGGTGGGGTCAGACGATCGCGCCGCATCGCCGATGCATCGCGACGCATCGGCGACGTCGGGGTGGAGAACATCGGGCTCCACATCGAGCCACATCGCCGATGCCTCGGCGGTGCGGCGCGATCCTCCCAGACCATCTGCTCGGACCCCCCTTGGGCGGCCTGGGATCCTGACACCAGCCCCTCATGATCGCCATGAACCTGGAGAAGCTCGCGGCCAGGAAAGCCACGGCGAAGAAGCCGAAGGCGCCCCACACGCCCAGGAACAGCTGCGCGGCGGGGCTGTCCGCCGCGACCAGCTCGAAGGAGACGTAGAGCACGCCCATGAACGCAACGAAGCCAGAGCCGATGTACTTGAGGATGCTCGACACCTGCTTCAGCTGCTCGATGTCAGGCTACGCGCAGGAGCGACCCTGGGCCCCAGGTGGACCTCTGTTCGGCGCCCCTCGGGGGCCACGGGGGGGGGGGGGGGGGGCGAATCCAAGCGGGCAGGCCGCTTCCGGCCAGAGCTGGCACCCACGGGTCACTCCGGCGAAGGGTCACCCCTGCGCGTAGCCGAGATGTGGCACTCGGTAAACTCTTGCTGTTGCTCGGGCGAGAGCTTCTGGAACGCTTCCTTTTCGCTCTTCGTCTCCAGGTGGCGCTCCATTAGCGCCTCCGCCTCCTTCTCCCTAAGCTCGGCCTCGCCGTCATGGCTGATGATGCTGCCGCGCGCCCGCTTTTCCTCATGGTGCAGCTTCAGCGCGTGGTGGGGCGAGGTGATGAGCTCCTCAAATCTGAAGCGCAGGGTCAAGATCATCCCAAACAGTATGTAGCCAAGGCCTGCACAGAAAGGAGCCACCTCGGCCAGGAAGACCCGTCCAGTCTCGTTGCTGCCGGCTTCTATGCCGTCGTAAAGTTGCTCCGGGTCGCGCTCGTTGCCCAGCATCCAACAGAGCCACGCGAAGATCGCCATGCCCCCCACCACGAAAAATGCACACATCGCGCCAGCGTAGAACATCCTCCAGTCGTCGTGGTGGTACTTGAAGGACTCCACGAACTTGATCCTGGCACTCTGCCTCCTGTGCTCGGCGTTCGATGGTGGCGGCGGGCTGCCAGGGTTGTGGACCTGGCGCACCATCACCAGAAACACCGGGGCGCTGGCCGTGGTCACAAGCACGGGCATCTGCGGGTTGGTCTTGGCGGAGAACAATCCGACGGCGAAGAGCAGGAACGCGCAGAGTGCCATCACCACGTTCCCAAGGGTCCTGTCGTGGTGGCTGAACGTGCAGTAGAAGCCTGGCAAGTGCGGGGGCCAGAAGAAGTCCTGCGGGGGAACGTTGAGGGGGACCGGCTCCGGGTGGGAAGCATCGAGCTCAAATCGGCTATACATCGCCGGTAGATCGGCAAAAAGCCACTGATGGCAAATCCGCACGGTCCTGGGCGGGGTGGGCTATCGGCCCCTATTGGCAATGAGTAGGCGATCGGGGGTCGATGCATCCTCCCCTGAGCCTATCCCCCCCTAACGTTGCCCCTGAAGTCCATGCAGTAGAGCACGCAGAAGATGACGGTGAGCAGCCCACCGCATGCCATCGACGCGGTCCCCTGGTCCTCGAGCCACTCGGTGAACTCCAGCCCCACGCCTATGCTGGACATCAAGAAGATCACGACCGCCATTGGGATCCACAGGACCGCGAAGTTTATCGCGAAGTAGGCGTTGTATCCCAAGCTGGTAAATTCCTTTTGGCGGCGAGCCCAAGGGGGAGGACAGATGTGGTGGGGCTTCTGAGAAGGCTCAGAAGGCCTCCAGCCTTCTGAGAAGATGTCGAAGCATTCTTTGAAGACGCAGACGGCTTCTCAGGAGGCGTGAGGGCTCCCGAGAAGCCCTACAGCCTCCTGAGAAAGCCTACCCCTTCTCGCTTTCTCCCTGGGCGCGCAGCCGATCCTTAGCATGCCGCCGTATTGCTTCTTTCCCCTCTCGCTCGAGCTTCTCGCACTTCTGCTTCTGAATCTGCCTCAGGTTCTCGTCGTTCGCGAGTCTGTAACCGCTCTGGAGGGCGTCATGGCCATCCTTAGAAATAAAGCGGCATAAATATCCGCCGGCCCCCGCCTGTCGGGGGCGACAAGACGTGTGAGACATTTGGCTGTCCCCACCACCTTTCCCCCTCACCTGGGTTCCAAAGTGCCGTTTGAAGTGGGGGGCACAAGCCCATGAGCTCGTCAACGCTTCTCCCTGGGCTCCTGGAGCCCCCAGAGAGCCCCAAGACGGCCCAAAGAAAACGCCAAGACACTCCAAGAGAGCGTCGAGCCGGCCCAAGGTAGAAAAACGGCATGAAGGCGGCCCACGGTGCCCCGAAGAGGGCCCACAAATGCTCCCGGAGGGCAACCGAAGGGGCCCCAAGAGGCAAACATGGTCCCATTCCCCAGAAAACATGTTAGCCAACGTGGGCCCCAAATGATGTGACTCTAGCAATCAATGTGGTGCTATCTATGTGGGAAAATATGTGTGGTGCGATTAGTTGGTGTTCGCAATGAGTTGTCAACTCCACTGCTCGCGCAACCATCACACCCACCCACCAGCAACTTGGATGAAAAACCCATGCGGGGGCGTTTGCGATGACATCTTGCCATTGGCTGGCCCGCTGTGGCCGCGCTAGCGCGCAAGCACGCGCGCAGATCGGCCAGCTAGTCTGGCGCAACCGACGCGGCTACGGTGGTGCTGACAGCTGGGGAATTCCCAGCACGTCTCGCAGGCCGCGCTGACGCGAGGGCGCTTCAGTGCGAGTCGATGATGCGGGCGGGCGCACTATCATGACGACGTCGGCAACGGCCGACACGATGATGATAATAGCGATGCAGGTGACATCGATGACAATGACGACGGCAAGGCCAAACACGGCGCCGATACTGATCACGTCGACGACGATGATGGTGTCCTCGCGTCGGTGCTGTAGGTTTTGGAGGGATTTCGGCATGCGCGCGCGGCCGACGCGCGCGAGTGGCCCGCATGGATGCATTTGATAGGGACCGTGCCTCCCCAGCACGCGCGCACAGGGCGCTCGAATGATTTCGACCTGGGCGCGCGACAATCCCGTCGGGTTGAAGTAAATGAACATGCCGAACTACCTATGGTTTTTCAGCAGAATTTGCAAAAGCGCGTAAACCTGTTTTCAAACCTCGCATAGCAGAACTGATGTTGAATGTTTTCGGGACACTCAATTCTGAAATCCCTGCGACACCTATTTCTTCTTGTGCTGTGGACTCCGGCATGCGTGCGCGACGACGCGGGCGTGTATGTTGTCCGACTGGTGTGAAGAATTCTTGCAGATGGGTGACCTTAAA